TCAAAGGAGCTTACAGATTAGGTTACAGATTACGTTAGGTTGGAGAATCTTCCAAAGCTCACTTCCATACAAATAATGGTCCGTTGTGTTACTATCGAAGAGACGCTGTCTGTATAATTCAACGAACAACAGAAATTTAAATCAAAGGAGCTTACAGATTAGGTTACGTTAGGTTGGAGTATCTACCGAAGCTCACTTCAATAGAAATAATGGTCCGTTGTGTTACTATCGAAGAGACGCTGTCTGTATAATTCAACGAACAACCAATTTAATTGCAGAAGTTAGTAGTATCTAGCGAAGGAACAACGCTCCTTTCAAAATTTGCGATACAAGTAGTGAGAAACCAATCGCTTAATTTTAAGATGATAGTACTGTCACATCAGTCAGAAAATTGTCCCTAAATATTTTGAATCGTTCTAGCCAACGATTAGCACTGATATAAAAGGTGGAGTACATTTTTCTCCTCATCCATAAAACCACAAGAGTGATTATCTAAAAACAAAAGTTGTTAGAGGGTAGACCAAGTCTTATTGCATGCATTTCCAATACAGTGGCCTATCATCATTGTTACTGTTTTACTAATATTGTTTTAGTTAAATCGAAGCAGCGCACCTATAAAACTTTTGTCGAATTTGAACTAGTTGAGCTTGTTATCTAACAAAAATCTTCATCTTATCCGGACTTCCTTATTAACCCTAGATATTTGTGTTACATTCCAACTATAGTCATTGCAAGAGAGATACTAATATCCGAAAAGTTGGTTTCTGAAAACAGTGTACCTGCTTAATTAAGTTTACTAGGTTTTCAGTTGCGACAGATGGTTCTATGAGTATGGATCTTTATGAATTGGATATAAACTTGCCTAGACACCTTAGGTATGTTTGAAAAGAACTGACAACAGAAGCAGTTGCAACGCCGAACAGAGATTTAATTGCAACATGGCTGTCCAAAAATTTTACGGTATTACTGTTTTATGAATAGTTATAACATCTAACACCCATTTCATTAGAAAAGCTTCAACTGCTAACTAGTAAATTATTAACTAGTTATTAAAAGGGATTTGTTTAAGAGGTGACTATAGAGCCTTGATTTTGTGGTTAATGTGAATTTACTAAAGTGATTATTGGTACTTAGCTTCATTAAAATATTTAATTAGTAATTGCACTGATTGACTGGAAAATGATGTGATAAATATCACTCGTAATTAATGTGTAATTAAGTTAATTTTCTGAAATGTTAATACAGTCATTATTAATAGCGTATAGTCTAATTACTAGTGGAATAACTTATATTGTAGATACTGTAAAGTTAACAGAAATCATGAAACAGCATTTTATAGCACAATTTATTCACTAAAAAAAGCAGCAGCTGTGAAACTTTAAAGGCTTCCTATATATAAATTGCAAGTCATTGAATAGAAGTATATGTTAATTCAATCAATATGACTTTGCTTATAGATTTAGTTTATGATATAAATGATTACAGACAGAAGTTTGCTTTATTATAATTGATGGCTTAGGATGATGAATTTGGGACAATGTTGTGTACTAGTCGTATTCTAAATAAATATTTAGTCACCCCCTAAAAAAATTTAAGTCACATTTCCCTGAGAGTTTTATTTTAAAAAAATGTTAGTGGTACTATCCGCTTTAAACTATTCGTGATTATTAAATGCTTTAAAACTAGATTCATTGTAGGAAATCTCGATGTATAGCACTAGCCCTAATCTTTTAAGCGTATATAAGTTAATATATTATATAGAAACATCAATGTCCACATTTTCATTTCATCAATATTTCTATGATCGTAAACCCAGTTAAGAGTGTCAGTTCCTCGTGTTCCGCTATATATTATCTGATTAGGTATAATGGTGAAGAATTCTTGAAATCAGACAATGTCTTTAACTGCCAACTACATTGCCAGTTAATGAAAATGTAAACCTACGCTTTTACCTACCTCTAATCACAAAGAAGAACTTGTGAAAAAATTTAGATTGATGTTTTAGTTTTTTTGGTGGCGTCATTACACAGACAAAGAAGATAATATTCTGCTTCTGCTCCACATTTTTTTTTTTCGAACCTTCCTTGAGAAATTGAAGTAATTTAGTCCTAAAAAACATTTAATTTACAATCCAAAATTGATAAGTCATTTAGCCAATGATTTGACGAAAAATATTCCTGTTTAGAATTGTAACGTAATTTTCCGCACATGAGTACACAGAGAAGTCTATAAAGGAACACTCACAAACACTCAATAATTTAAGGTTCCGTGAAAAATGTATGTAGCGTGTATATATAAATTTACTGAAAGTGGCGTAAATGGGTTTACCGGAAGCAATTTGTCATGCACATACACACATATACACGCATACATACACAAACATCAAATTGTCGAGCAACTTTTGCAGTGTAAATATTTTGTGTTAACAACTTTGAGGATATACGGACAAGTGGGGCGCTGAAATAAAGATATGTTCGACGCAGTATGTTAGGTGTTGTAATTGGCCACCAAATGTGGAATCAATGGAGGAATATTGGGAATATTGCATTTTAATGTTACTGAATGAAGTCTTACTGAGCGTTTAAATTTTCGCCTCATTGTTCATATCGAGAGGCTCCTGGTTCCTGTTTTTATTCCTGGAAAATTGATTGACTTTTTTGTTATGAGTCGAAGATGAAAAGTGAAAATAAGAAAATTAAAAAAAAAATTAATTTAAATTTATTATTAGCGCAATTTTGTTAAAAATGAAAATGTATCACGGTAATAAGAGAAAATAATAAAAAAAAATTCTGTTATTTTTAAATTGAAGAGCTAAATTTGTTTCTTTCAATACTTTTGACTTTAAGAAGACTAATTCTTTGGTATATTAGCACAACAGATATGCACAGAGATCTATGGATCGACTCAGTGAAAAAATATATCAAGGACAGAGCCCTAAAATTATTCACAAAAGTCGATACGTTGCCCAACCCCGCCTTAACAAACTTCAAGTCCACCTTAGGACGCACAGGAAGATATTCTGATCTACGGTCCGTCATCAATTATAAGATAAATATATGATAATAATAGTTAAAGCTAGTGTGGGGTGGGTATAAGCCCCCAAGCCATAAAAGAGTAAAAGTGCGCGATAGCACTAACTCAAACCACAACAACAACAACAACAACTTTTGATATTTAATATTTATCGTGACACCAAATGCATTTCGAAATTAATTTTTTTTTATATTTTTTTTTTTATTGGAGTCACATTTCCATATAGCCGTATTAAAGTACAATATGGCAAATACTTGACTTGTTTCAGTTCTGGTCTGATTCAATAAAATTGCTTTAAAAATAGTAGCCGAAAAATGGGCGGACGTTTGCTTTGCTGTTGGCACTTGTTTATATTCACCTGAGCAGCATTCGAATGTTGCAAATATTTTTGGTGCTAAAGTATTTATTCCTTTCGATATGTCAAAGTTGTTGAAACACTTTAAAACTGTGCAATTTTATTGTTCCGTTCGGATTCGGTTTATGTGAGCTGAATTTAAAGAGTGAATTCCAGGAATAACTATTAAAGTCACAGCAACAATAACATTTGTCTGCAGTCGAAAACATGCAAGTTGGCGAAGTGGCTGGAAAGGATCCACGCTTGCATTTATGCATGCACACGTACAGTTCAGTATCGTCTTCATACCCTTGTGGGGCAAGAGGTTGAAAACTCAATTGTAAAATTGTAGTTGATTTGGTTCCCCTATTTAGTATTGCACAGGTGAATATATGTATCTGCATATTGCAATTTATTTGTGAGGTTGTTCATTGGAAGCATATATGGTACTCGTATTCGCAAAAGCATTTATTTGAGTTTATTGCTTTGCATCTGTGCTTCTGGAAATGCGGTGTGATTCGGTGTGATTGCTGAAAGGTGAAATAAATTTATTCACAGACCGTAAGCGACCGCAACGAATTGTGCATGTACTCGGAAATATGCCATGGGAGCATCCAATACAGCGCAAACGTTATTACAGTTCTGCGACCTTTTTAATGAAGCACGTCCACAAATTTCTAAAAGCTTAGCACTTTAAAAGATTTCTAATTAATGATGGCATACATTTAAGCAATTAACTTTACATTTTGCCTCTACTAGTAGGTCATGTGTAAAATGGTTTCAAATTCACGAATGAAATTAAGAAAATATTTTGCATTTATGCTAAATTTACTTTGCACAAAGGTTTCGAATTTTATCTATATCTACTCAATGTGATGTTACAGTTATAGGCGGTCAAAGGATTTGGTACTTCAATAGTGACTATATCATATCCTAGCTCATACTGTTGAAAAAAGAAGAAAAACTTTACTAAGCTTTAATGGAATCAAGAAATTCGTTGATCACCATATTCCTGGGATCTAGCGCCGTGAGAATTCTGGTTATTTTCAAAAATAAAAAAAAAAAATGAAAGAAATGGTCTTGAACAATAAAAAGATAATAAAAGTAGTTAATTTCTAAGTTTATATACAAACCAAAAATAATCTGATCTTAAGGACTGCTTTAGAAAGTGGATTTACTGGCTTAGGAGTATTACTGGATTAGGAGTAAGGTCTTGAAATTAAAATTGTTTTTGAAAATATTATTTATCGGCAATAAAGTGAACTTTAGTTAGTCTCCATTGTATATATTCAGTATCTCTTTTCTAAAGGAACAGTTTAGCATATGTTATCAACTTAATACCTTGTATTCATCTGTTAGTTTTGTGAATAAAAAATTAAATATTGGGACTTTAGTTACTAATAAAATCTATTTATTTCAAAGACATATATCAGCATTTCTTATGTTGTTATTAATCTTTTATACTAACTTAAAACAATTCGATCTTGTTTAATTGTTTAATATTATGTATTGGTTTATATAAATAAAATTTTTTTTTTTAAACAAATTTGATTTTTATATCAATCAATTTACCATGAAAGTTTTAAGGTAAACTTAAAAGGAAGAATGTAGATATACATTTCATTTTATTTTAAACTTGTGTAAAGATTGTTTCAAAAAACTTCTCTGAGACAAAAAAAAAATTGGAAAAAAAAATTTTAAGTAATAAAAATTAATTAGTAAAAAGCAAAATGTCTTTAAATCCTATAATGACTCTCTTCTCAATGAGCCTCTGCCAAAAGCGTCTCTTAAGTCTTGTTAAAACAAAATTGCAAACGCGTTCCTTTGCAGAGGATTGTAGTGGAAAGAGTAAGGTAAGACTAAATACTTGTATTTCAAATCCCATATATATACATTTTTGAATTAATGTGTTTCATTTTATAGCTAAAAGGAATCGTATTGGGTTTGTATGAAATAGAAGAAGAAGGTCTTCAACCGGTGCTTACTAGTAGCGCTGAAAAGTTTGATGATCGCGTTAAGGGAAAAATTACTGAACTTGTTAAAATGTAAGTCTAACGTTAATAAGATAATATAAAACATGTTATTAAATATATATATACGTATTGTATATTGCGTATACATATACTCATATGATATTTTTGCATAGGTGTCAAATGAGTGGCAAAACAGGAGTAGGTCAGGTATTTAATAACATTGATATGGAGTTTCAGTCAGTAGCGCTTGTTGGCGTTGGAAGACAAGGAATAGGGTTCAACGAGCTGGAAATGATTGACGAGGGAATGGTAAGTACGGTGAAGTGAATATAATGTCCATAGTCAAAGAAACTAGAAATTTACTTTAATATTTTTTTTGACAGTTGGGCACATATGTCAAAAAAAATATTTTTTAAAATTTGGTTTCTAATAGACTTTGGATTACTGCAGTTATATTAAATTTATATGTAGTTGCATTCCATTTGATAGCTACTTAGTAGTTTATTATTAATATATTATTTTGATTATATTTTAAGTTGATATATCAAACTCATAAACGTGTCCTAAAAAAATTGTGTTCAATAGATATATATGAAAACAAATTTATTTTCCCACCATTAAAATTTTAATTATATTAGTAGAGATATCATTAACGTCATCACTTAGCGATTCCAAATAGCTTACGTTATCACTTTCTTCATAATGTTTCTTTTTCTTCATTCCTTCTTTTATTCGTCATAGGTTTTTGTGCTTCTCTTAATAAGAAATTTTGTACCATATTAGATGAATTTTCATTTCTTCTTTTTATTTCTCAATTTTCCTCCATTAAACACTATGTATGGCTTCTCGTATTACTTTGACCAAAAGTTTTCATATATTTATTGATATAGTCAATAAGATATCTTTTCCTGGTCCCATTTTGAGTTTGGTATAAGCTCTCTTTAGTGCAAAATTAAATGATGTCGTCAGTCTTTTGTTTTACCCGAATGATACCTAGTATCTATCTGATTGCAATTAATATCAATTCTAATGTTGACCTTTTAGTGATATATTTTCAAGATTCGCATAACTTCAGTAATAATTTTCTTCTTAAATAAAAGGAAAATGTTCGAGTAGCAACAGCAGTTGGTGCCCGCAGCTTGCAAGCAATTAATTGCGGAGAAATTTATGTTGACTCAATGGAGTACCCAGAACAGGCAGCTGAAGGTAGTTCTTTAGCTATTTGGAGATACCATGAACATAAGGATAAAAAACACCGCACAATAACACCTAAATTAGAATTGTATGACCATAGCGATGTGGATGCGTGGACTCGTGGTTTATTTAAGTCCGAAGCACAAAATTTAGCACGTCGACTTAGTGATACACCAGCTAACTTAATGACGCCAACTACTTTTGCACAAAATGCAGTTGACGCACTATGTCCATGCGGTGTCACTGTTGAGATAAGAACAATGGACTGGATTGAAACCCACCAGCTCAATTCATTTTTAATGATTGCTAAAGGTTCATGTGAACCGCCAATACTTTTAGAAGTTAGTTATTGCGGTACCGCGCCAGAAGATAAGCCCATCTTGTTAGTCGGCAAAGGCATGACATTTAATAGGTAAAGCAATACAGTTATTTTTTTTTTCGAAATGTAAATAAGGATAATTTTGTCTTTAATTTTGTCTTTAATTTTGTCTTTAATTTTGTCTTTTAGTGGTGCAATCAATTTGCGCCGTTGCAAAGATATGGATGAATTTCGAGGAGCTATGAGCGGGGCTGCTGTTATTGTAGCAACAATACGAGCTGCTGCTGCATTGTCACTTCCTATTAACATATCAGCAGTTATACCATTGTGTGAGAACATGCCATCCGGTATGTCAACTAAGCCGGGCGATATAATAAGATTGTTAAATGGTAAAACGATGGCAGTAAGGGTAAGTACTATAAACATATATTTATTATTTAATTGGTAATTGTATGTTATTCAAGGATCTCGATAAAGCTGGTGTTGTTATAATGGCAGACCCATTGTTATATGGGCAGGTTACATATAAGCCACGCTTAGTTGTGGATGTTGCCACATTGGGTTACGGCGTGAAGAAAACCTTAGGCGGTGGCGCTACTGGTATCTATTCGAATTCGCATTACATTTGGAAGCAGTTCCAGAAAGCAGGTTCACTAACTGGGGATCGTGTGTGGCGTTTTCCATTATGGCAATTTTATAAGAAACTTGTAACTAGTAAGTACAAATATTATAGTAGAATATAAATGCAATTAAAGAGACTCTAATGCACAATTAGAGAGATTGTAATGGTTGAATACAGTGCATGAATTTAGTATTTTTATGGTTACCCAATTGTATGCAGACTTATACCTCAAATATTTTAACATTATTAATAGTTTGGAAATTTATTTATTACTAGATCATGTTAATTATGTAAATAACAGTT